TTGCAACTCTAATCTTTCCTAATCCTCTTTTTAGGTCTTGTTTTATGTATTTATAAATAGTTTGCACTAAGATCGACCCATAGTAATGACTATTTTTTCTCAATCACCAGCTTTCTACAATGTGCAGGACTCCAGCAAACACACAGCGTAATCACTGGGGAAATGGACACAGATCAACAATGGAATTAGCCTTTCTCCATAACTGGTGAATGCAAAGGCTCAAATTAATGATTGCCAAGTGTGAAGTGGCCAAAAGAAAACAATGGCTGTTGCCTTGGTTTGTTGGAAGAGGCCAAGATAGCTTGAGAAAAGTATTTCCACAGCTGACCACAAAGAAGGCAGAATAAACAGCCCTGAAAGAAGTGGCAAGTGTTCTCTTTCCCACCATGAACCAACGTTGCCTGAAATATGAATTCTGCTTTACTGTGGGGAGGCAAACATGAGCAACATTATGGGTCTCGCTAAACCAGATCAAAGCCAGACAACAACATGATGAGTCTCATTCTGGAGAGGCAGGGGATTTGTTCAAAGAAGGCGGCAGTCGAGTGGAGGCAAGGGAGACGAGTGTAGGTATGCAAAGGAAGGGGGGGAAGAAGAAAAAAAACACTGGAGAACCTGCTGACTCACTGAGGCAAGCTGCGCTGCTGCTGCTGCTGCTGCTGCTCAGGGTAAAGCTCACTGCCTCCCCTTCAGAAGGACAAAGTGATGCTTCCCATCAACTATGATGAGCTATATGACTGAAGGTGGAAAATAGAATGGTGAAATAAAACTGTCTTATGGCATGAAATAGCTTCTCTTACACTCTTAGACATCTGAGAACAAACAGAATGATGCAATCTGATGAAGGCAATGAATTGCCCATAGCTGCGTAAGTAAAAAAACAAAGCTAAAAATAAAGTCCTGATCAGACAGACTGCAACAGGATTTGGAACTGGCCTGGGAAGAGAACCTTTTGACTACTGCAATAACTGTGGAGATTGTTGCTGGAAACCCCAAACATATCATTTAAGACCACGCAATGAAACAATATGATGTTCAAGTCAGCACCGTGACAAGATTTTGACAGGACTGCAGTGGATGCAGCATCCTAATGAGGCTTCTTAATTCAATTCCCATAAAACTAAAACTACGCAGCCTCTGTGATTACTGTTGTTGGATTCAGCTGCGGTAATGTTGTGTTATCCTCTTTTGGTTATTCCAGACAAAGCTGATAAAAGAGCATGTAAAACAGACATTTGGGTAGAAGATTAGGTCTCTCTGCATACTGGATAAACAAACACAAAGCTGCAGTACACTGTACCACTGTAGTACTGCAATTATAGCTATATCAGCCAATAATCAATAAGACAGTGCTACTCATCAGTTTTCAAGTATCAAGTATTAGTTACATGATGTGTAAACAATGCTTGATTTGCATTTTGAAAGTTGTAAATATTATTAGAACACAGAATTGGACATTTAACTAATTATGGTAATGTGTTAAGATGTTGAAGGATGTTGTCCCTGACAAAACCTCTGAACGTGTTCTTGTACTTCTATCTGTATACAAGTACATTAACTTTAAGATGTATGTCCTCTTAAAGATATCTTTAAGAGGACCAATCAGGGAGGACATATTGGCTTCACTTCTTCCATGGCTGTTTAAGGGCTAAGACTTTACAGGGTTAAAGTCATCATCCTTAAAGGGGCCCTCCACCAATTTTACTAACAAAGGTCAGTTTCGTAGCCATGAATCTGTTTGTCTTCTGTGGTTCTGGAGAAGCCTTCTTAAGTCTGAATAAAATCATCCGGGTTATCTTGCGTTGTAAACATTGAATATGAAAAAGGCAGGCAAGGAAGGATTGGAAAATGCTATTGAGGCGCATTATGGGAAATGTAGGATCCAGGGTAAGCTTCACTTATACTAGTAAATAAAAGTCCAGACCGTTCTCATCCCACTGCGTCCAATACAGACGATTTCAGAAAAAGTGACAAAGCGCAGTCTCTACGAGACGCTCCCGTATGTGTCTGTAGGAGACGCTCTGGGGCGTGTCGTACAGACCGGAAGTGCTAGCTAGCTAGCAAATATTAGTGCCTAAAGCAAAGTCAGTGACTTTATGCATGTCGACCGGTTTGCCTCCTTTGCGTTGCAGCGACGTAGCAAATGGTGGCGTTTCATACCGAAACTGAAATGTACCTTTAGCGCAAAATAATACCGAAAGCGTCGGTAATGATGCGCTGAGATGAGAATGCGTTGAAAAGTCATGTTATTAAACTATTGCTACATAAATTTTGAACATTCATTTTTATAGCTCTTGTCCCCCAACTTTATGGTTTTGGAACAGTACATCACAGCCTTAGCTTTGGTTAATTCAGCAAGTTTCCTAATGGTAACAGCAAGTGTGTTTTAATAAAGCAGGATCATTTCAAAATGTCATGTGTATCTACCACTGGTTCGTTGTGTTGCATATTTGAAACAATTGTCCATTATGGTAAATCTGAACTCATGATCAATGTTGTCTTCCAAAATAAACATATGAGCTTTTAACATTTAAACCAGCTTTTATCTTCCGCATCAAACCTAGTACATGTATACACTGTTTCCTGCGAATACCTTGTGTCTGGTCCGCAATTTCAACACTGCGTGGGAGAGTTGGACTTGCCATTTTTAGAGAAAAACAATGTAATATATATATAAATATAGAGGGCAACAACAGATAAATTGTTATTGCTATAAATATATTATATAATATATGGGGCTGATAAACTGACAATCCTAATTAAAACTGAATTGTCTGTTAAGGAACTAGGGAATGTATTTAAGTCAGTGAGGGATGTTAAAAGTATAGAAGTAGAAACGTGTGTGTCTCTTTGGATGAGTGTGTGATCGGTCACTGCTGTTAAGCAGGCAGGAAGACACATAACCACACTCACCAAGGTACAAAAACAGGTCAAAGAACATTGAGCTGTGCTCTAGCACAGGACACACATACACGCACAGTTAGCTGTTGCATGCCTTCGCATCATCATCTGTAACATCAAGGTGACCCCACACAAGTAAGCAGCATTCCATGCCTGTGCCAAGGACTATACAAAAGACTCAAATTAGATGACCACCTAAATAGATTCTTCCTTTGTAATACTGTTTCATACAAAGAAGCCCAACTGTTCACTTTTCCCAACGGAGAAGTCATTAGGAAATGGTTGCAAGTGCGAGGAATGATTGCCTCCAATGAGACACAGAGAAGAGGAGGGCTGCTTCAGCATCACTGGATGCTTCATACATGCTCATTTGAATTGCAAATGTTGGTAGGCAGCATGCTGGGCTGTGAAATCCCAGCAGCACCCTGGGGCATCTGAACTCGCGCACAAACACTGACACACTAGTAGCAAGACTTTATGCACATTTACAGTAGACTATGGTAAAAAGAAAAAAAACAGACTCTTGATTCACTTTGATGTGTCTGAACTCTGTATGATTATAAATTCATGTCGAAGTACTGGTGAGCCAACGGTGGACAAACTGGTGCTGGTGCTCCCTGGCAATTTGGGGGGGGGGGGCTCCCTGGCAATTTTGGGGGGCAAGGCGAGGCTGGCTGGCAGGCTGACTAAGCAAGGCTGACACAGCAGGCATACACATGTGTCCGATGTTACCGACATGGATGCTGTGTGACAGCAGGTCTGCTAGCTGAGGCTGACAGTGTGTGTGGCCTGAAGGAAGAGTGGGACAAAATATCACAAGCCCACCTGTGCAGCATCAGGGAGCGGGGTGGAACACTGCAGAGCAACTGAACCAGAGATGGTCTGACTTGAACAAACTTGCATGGACAAACCAATACAAGGAAAATAAGAAATATGATATAATAAGCCATCTTAAGAGTCTGTCAGAGTTTTTTATGGGTAACACTTCTATGAAGTGTCACCCATTAAACTGGAAAACTCAATATACAAGACAACAGACAAAGAGACATTATGGGTAGAAATATAATCCTAGCCTGAGTAACACAGAGAACAGTCCAAGCAAAGCATCCTGAAGCTAAAGCCAACCCGTGCAGTGCTGACATATGCCTCTTCAATACTGCATGTAGCCTAACTCCACAAAACAGGTACAAGCCAGGGGGCCAAAGGTGAGGCATTTTCCATACAAGAACCTGCATGAGCGTGCAGGCAAAAACAGGCAGAGTGTAACCAAATGTCTCCATAGTATTCAGGTGAAGTCTGTATTTTCCATCATTTACACATCCCTGACAAATTATTACACTGTGAGTAAAATCTATTAACTACAAATTCCATTTTTAAGTTCTAAAAGCAAACTCAACAACTGTGGGGTCAATCCAGGGGGGTTGATGGGAGTGTGTGACATGGCACTGGGTCCCCAGAGTCTATAAATGCATCTGTCAGTGTGGCTGTTGCATAATTAGCGATGGGTGTGTTGGAGAATAGGCTGACTAAGCCAATTGGAGATCCAGTTTGCCCAGACAGGCTGAGACACAAACTGATCTCTGAGCGCAACTCCGAAGGATATGAAAAATCCTAAACTGAAAATCAAGGCCTGGTGAGAACATCGTGTGTAGATTGGCTGTCCTGCCAGCAACGAGGGGGGACACTGGAGGAGTCTAACTGCCTGGTGGTATGTGTGCAGGTTGGATGTAAACATTAAGGGCCAGTGGGCACAAAACGAACTTGCCTCTGTTTCAATATCCCACAATAAAATTCCTCCTCCGGTAGAGGACGGCAAGCAAGCGGTCAAAGTCCATGCGCGTTATGAAATGATGGTCTTTAAAACAGCTGCAGCTTGAATAAAAGCCTATCACTGCAGCAGATAGTAGCACATAGAGAGTATAACAAAGCGCAGTAATCACTGACGAATTGCGCGTTAAAAGGACAAACAGCATACATGGGAACGATCCCTGAAACGTTAAAGCCCGACATTCAACAAATCATTAAACACAACCAAGCCTGGGCTTATAACGACATGGGCAAAACTGACAGTGCAAAAATATGAACACTTCTAAACATACCCTCCTGTCAGACAGACATCCAGGGGAGGACCATGAATGGTGCGCACTGGGGGAAGTCAATCCTGACCGCCGCCGTTCCGTGTTTATTTCCCGGGTTAAGGGAAAGGGAGTGTGTCGGTGTTTTGCCGGTCATACGCCTAATGAGAGAAGGAGGCGAGAGAAAGAGGGAGGGACACTGTCAGATGCAGGGAGGCAGGAGGCAGGAGGGAGGAGGGAGGAAGATACTCGCACGAATACAGTCAGGCTGTGTGTTCAGGGGGAATGCGTAAAGCCAAACAACGCTTGTGTAGTCCCTGCGAAAATGTCCCGCTCTGTCAACAAGTAGGCTACTCAAATCTCAATAAACATGCGGAAGTACGCCAACCCTGTCATAATTATCCCATGTTGTTTCCGCAGCAGCTGCATTCATGTTGCTACGTGTCAGTGATTTTGTCAAGAGTGAGGCAACAAGATGAGAGAGACAGGCTACACATGCAAAACATGTTATTTGGGCTGTTGGTGAGCAGGTCAGGATCGTTCATTTTAGGCAGATTGAGTCTCTTGCTTTTAATAAAATATTTAAAGCCCCGGCACTACATCAGAGGAGTTGCTGTTATTTCTTGCAGTGTCGTCAGGATGGCGCAATCCCTTAGATTTCATCACTTTTAGTCCACTGCTAACAACACACAGCTTTAACTGCCTCACCTTTGCATACAGAGATGATGGAATTTATTAGGAGAAAGGGCAGCGCGCCCTGAGTCACCCGCTGTACAAATAAAAATAATGGGACCTCGCCCGTGAAATAGGGAGTTATCAGTTCCCTATTGTGCCTGGTAAATTAACAAGGAATTATTGTGAAAGGCAAGCTGAGTCCCTATAGCCTAATTAATCAGCGAAGGGTTGATGTTGCTGATTTGATCAATCATTGTCTGTCCCTGACAGAGCTATTATTCTTCAGAGGGTAAGGTGAGGTAAGGTAAGGTATACTTTATTGTCACATACACATACATGTATATTCATTCTGTGCATTTAACCCATCCCACAAGGGAGCAGTGTGCAACCACTGTGCACCAAATCCAGATCTGTATCCCAGTGTCACTGGTCAACGGCACAGACTGGAGAACATAACATGTTTTTGATGGGATATTACGGTAATCCAATAATGTCACCATAGACTCATGTACAAAACATTCAAGGTCACTAAAAGCTTACTAACTAGACAATGTAAGCACTCCCCCGTAGGACAATAAAATTTTATTTAAATGCCTCTATGGCCAAGGCTGGAATAACAAACGGGCAAAGGCCCCCAGTGCAGGAACTCCAGGGGCCCCAAAAGCTCCAGGTTTGATTGGCTATATGTTAGCTGATTTGTAAAAATCTGATTCAAGATGTATTTTGGAAAATATACCACTAAAGCACAACATGAGTCGACACAATGATTTATAGCATTGCATTCCTATAACAATGACTCACAGTGGACAGGGTTCTTTTTTTGATAAAAATTTTAATCGATGCAGCAGAAGATAGTATTATTATTAGATCTGTTGTCTTTTTTTATTCCATGCATATTTCCATGTTTTTCATTACCCACAATTCAACAGTTCCGTCTGAGATTCTGGTGTTATGCTAGTATGAGAGTATGCGCAGCTTCCTCTGGAGCCACATAAGGCTTTATGCAACTTTTTCACACATGTAGTGGTACTTCCCCAGAACCCGTTACACACTTTGATGTGTAAAATCCTTTATCTTTAATCATATCTTTTAAAATGGTCTTGTTACCTTGTCTCGAGGTCCAGTCTTGTGTCTGTGTCAAAATCTAGATTCTCAGTTTCAAATTTCATGTGTTTGAGCAGGTATAATCAATGTTTTTATATCAACAATGGGCCACACTGACTGCATGACAATTTATTTGTGAAAGGGGTGGCTTGTAGTGACAAACCCACAGAGAATTATCAACTGACTCTTTAGCTCCCATCAGCTATGTAGCGTTTTAGTGTCTTTCAGCTGATTGTTTCCTGTTTTACTATCTTGGCATTACATCCCACAGCAGCAGGTAGTTGTTTTTAGTGAAAAAGCTTTAATATTTTACCATATGCGCCCTGCAAACAGCAGACAGGCAAAGTTAGTGGCTATTTAATACACAGGAACATTTAGCAGCAATAGACAGATAATAATAGGGGCCCAGCCATGTTTATTACTCTAAAGGGAAAACCAGCATACAGTGTCTTAGCAAAAGTCTTGGTGGCCTACTAGTTGAGATTGATATATCGCCATATCCTCGTTTCCGTTACAGGCAAACCCATAGGTGTTCAGTTAAAGCATTTGATTCGCATTATTTTCATACTTCTCAAACCATTCAATGAGCTTTCTTGCTCTGCATGGAAGCATCTGCATCTTTTGTGTTTTTCTCCTTTATTCAGGTTTTTCCTTTCATGCGCAATTGTTTCCATTTTGTCCCCCACGGTTGCATCATTAAAACTTTTTCACTGACAGGGTTGTGTAGATGAAATGGTGTTTGAGCCTAATAGCCCATGAGATTTAAGAGTGTCATTGTTATTTAAATAAGAGAAATCCAGATTTCAAATCTCTTTAATAAAAACACCCTGTATATGGCACAATTCTGAGGTTTCTGTATTGTGGGTGTCAAAGACAACACATGAGTCACTCACCATATATACTGGTCTATTTCCTTTGTTCCTTGCCAGATTGTCTGGTGTGCATTGCCTAGGCTTCCAGACTTCTGTTTGCCTGGCCTGCCTGTTTTGGACCTGGCTGTTATAGCCAACAAATGAAAATACTTCAAGTATTTACCCATTGATCTGCGCTTTGAAGCTCTTCCTAATACACAGAAGACTGTAGACAAATCACCCATAACTACTTCAAAGCGAGTCTGTTCTATAATGAAGATCTCAGCAGGAAACACCAGTGCAGGATGACTTTTCAAAACAACACAAATGAGGAGCTGGAGATTGTGACCAGACCTTGGAGGAAAGTGAGGCAGGCACACACATGGACATAAATAAATATTTGCACAGAGCACATTGCATATTCCTGGTCAATCAAACATTTTCTAAAATGAGTTGATGCTGGGCGCCAGTCCTCTGGTCACAAATGAATTATCCAAACAATGGCTGAGTAAGAGGCATGACTCAGTGCTGTTGGTTTGTGTGTGGCCAGCACTTTAAACATCTCTGTACAGGATGCATCCTGGGTGAGTTTTATGTAATTCAAATTATTCAAATTAATATTGAATTACATGTCCTCTATGACTGTAGGAATACGTTTAAGATTTCCTATATGTAAAACAACTAAAAGGACACTTAGTTTTATTGCACAAGCCAATAGATTTATGAACAACTCCAGTACATGAGATGGTCAGTTTATGTATATTGTTTATGGACTGATACATGCACCTAAACTTTTTACTTGTTCTGATAGCTTAGCTGAAAAATGTAATTGACAATTCGGTGAAAAAAGAATTTTTATTATTATTATTATTATTAAGATAAGAAAAGATAAGAGATACTTTAATGTACCATTGGGAAATTCATCTGCAGACATACTTAACAGCCTCCTTCATTCATATATCAAAATATTCTTTAAAGCCAATGCTGATCCATTCAGCCATAAAACCAATAAGACGATGAAATTGATTAAACCAATAAAACCGATGCAACCAGTAGAACTGGAATATTGCTCATTTTACACATTCAACAGTAACACCCAGTTTGACTGTTTTCAGTCTCTAAACTGTCGGGCCGAAAGTAAGTGATTGTTGCTGCCTGCCACGGTGGACTTTTGGATTCTTCCACTGGGTGGTCCCATTGGGAAATTCCAGATTCTACTCTTAGTGGCTTTAGTACCTAAGTATTTATTGTTTTTGCTGAGATAGATGTTAAACTTCTAACCTATTTTAACTTCTCATTGTTGGATATGGTTACAGGTACAGAGGTGAAATAAAAGTAAAATACTCTTTTACTTGTCAATCGTGTCATTGTGGAAAAGTCTCCTAAACAGCATTTAGATCATGATAAAACACTAAAACATCACGCCCATGACTGCATTTAAAGGATGCTGTGGTGTAAACTAATTGTCTGTTTATGACTCCGTGGAAGCAGGATTTCTTATGCTCCATAGGAAAACACCCACTTGGCAGGACAGTGGAAACACTACAGTGGAAACCAAACACATCATGGGTACACATCATCTACTTTTAATCCATCTCCCTCAGTACAGCTTCAGGGCATCTTGAGCCAATATGCCCCAAAATGAGAGCTGATAGATGATCTATGGGAGATCCATCAGAGTCCTACTGGCATCTGCTATTAGCTGCAGGTTGTTAATCAAAGACAGGATAAATACTTGATGTGAAGCTGTGATGCTGCATGTTTTTTCTGGGATATGCTGCTTCCAATTTATGTTTTTAAATAGGACAGAACATCATAATTATTTCATTCACCTCTCCCATCTCACGTTTTTTTTTTTTTATCTCTGCATGCACTGGGTGGAAACAGTGAAGCACAAGTAGGTAGTCCACCACATGTCTATGAAGAGACAGATGCTCACATTCATACTGACAGACACTGTAGAGTCTTCTTAAGAGTGTCTAAAATATCTGAACGCGGAATTAACTTTAAAGGGCTGGCAAACGATAGCATGCTGTTCCCCCAGCCAGCGCTGTGAGATAGCGACAGTCTTTTTCCATATGAGGAGAATTTATCATCAGGCTTGGTTAGCTGAAATCTGTAGGTCCCCGGGGACCACTCCAAATATGGAAGGGGTTAGGGTCAATAACTGTGGCTCAAACATTTGAGAAAAGTATTAAAAACCTCCATCCAAAAATCCTCAAGAGAGAGACAAGTCCAAAACATTTGGCTGCGGGTACCCATGGTCACGCCAGCATCTAAGGCAACTATCATCTACTTCTAAAAAGGTAATAAATAATATAATAAAATCATTCTCAAAATTTGTTCATTTCACATAGCCTTTTATTACAATATTGAACACTTTGGGGTTCCATGCACCTCTGGGCCTTAGTGAAGCCAGCCTGGGATCCCATCACTTTCCCCTCGACCCATTCATCCCTTCCTCCCTGAACTTTCTCTCTAACCAAATAAATTACCTGTTGTACCTTAATTGGCGTGGTCTTAGTAAATTGAACAGTAAGTACTCTATTTAGTTATGCATCACCAAAAAAAGCTGTGTTTTGCACACACCTGAGAAAATATCCAATTTTTCTAATATTGTCGCTGCTACCATTTAGTGA